AAGAGAGGTAGGGTAGTCGACAAATAGGGCCGGCAATGGAAGAGGACTCCGACCCAAGGATGGGTTTAAGGGGGTGTGAGTGAGTGTGGTCGTATCCTTAAATTTTTTTGCACCCTCAAAATTTCAAGAGTTCGTACTTTTTAAATTATTTAAAATTTAAATTCAAAGTTGCGATCTTTTTCAAGATTTTCAATTTCACCCAGCATTGTAGGTAGCTTGGCTTTTTCATATTAATTTGATGAAAGAAAAGTGTTTTAAAGTTTCCTCCAAAAGGTTTGTGTCGTAGGTCTACCCTAATTTTTGCCTTCAATTTGGTTCTCTCTCCCTTAACCCATTACTATACACACCACTACGACAAAGACAAGAGAGGTAGGGTAGTCGACAAATAGGGCCGGCAATGGAAGAGGACTCCGACCCAAGGATGGGTTTAAGGGGGTGTGAGTGAGTGTGGTCGTATCCTTAAATTTTTTTGCACCCTCAAAATTTCAAGAGTTCGTACTTTTTAAATTATTTAAAATTTAAATTCAAAGTTGCGATCTTTTTCAAGATTTTCAATTTCACCCAGCATTGTAGGTAGCTTGGCTTTTTCATATTAATTTGATGAAAGAAAAGTGTTTTAAAGTTTCCTCCAAAAGGTTTGTGTCGTAGGTCTACCCTAATTTTTGCCTTCAATTTGGTTCTCTCTCCCTTAACCCATTACTATACACACCACTACGACAAAGACAAGAGAGGTAGGGTAGTCGACAAATAGGGCCGACAATGGAAGAGGACTCCGACGCAAGGATGGATTTAAGGAGGTGGGAGTGAGTGTGGTCGTATCCTTAAATTTTTTTGCACCCTCAAAATTTCAATAGTTCATGCTTTTTAAATTATTTATATGATAAAATTTTAAAAGTAGTTTTTAAAATCTAACTTCTTTTTTTTTTTTTAACATACACTGCCTCTAGCCTCACTCTACAATTTGGTAGACAAATTTACTAATAAGATTACACATTGAAAAATTTAGCATAAAATATCCAGAGTACACCAGGTGTTAATTAGAGATATTAGAGGTGCGATCCACAATACATTAATGTTGTGTTTGATTAGAAAATTTGAGAAGGGATTTGAAAAGAGAAATGAAAAAGGTAGGTGAAATATGAATAAGATATACTTAAATTTCATCTAGTTTTACACACTTTTTCTCTTTTTTTTTTTTCCAAATACCTTCCCAAATTCCCTAACCAAACACCACATAAGGCTTTGATTTTTTTAAGGAAATACATTAATATTGTGTTTGGTTGGAGGATTTGGAAAGAGAAAATGAAAAGATAGGTGAAATGTGAATAAAATATACCTACATTTCACATAGTTTTACAAACTTTTTTTCCTTTCTTTTTCCAAATCACTTCTCAAATCCCTCAACCAAACAAGGTTTGTATCTACCCTATTGATACATTTGCTGAGCAACTTTCATACTGCCTCAGTTTCATTTTATTTGTCTATTATTTTATTTCTTTGTTGTTTCAAAATACATATTTATTTTAAAAAGTCAAAGCTTTAAATTTAAATTTTTTTAAATGAGAATAAAGTATATTTTTAAAATTAATATTTTAAAATTTAAATTCAAATGTAATGATTATGAATTTATATATCCCGTTAAAAAGTTTAAATTTTTAAGAAAAATAATATATAAGTTCACTTTTTAAACTCACTTTATAAACTCAGTGATGTTTCAAGAAGATGATTTGTTGATAATTAGAAAATATTTAATTATCAACAAATCATCCTCTTAACACATCATTAAATCTAGAAAGTGGGTCTAATTGTCAATACGGGATGGAGGATATTTAAAATTTAAATTGAAAGTAGCAATCTTTTTCAGGATTTTCAATTCCACCCAGCATTGTAGGTAGCTTGGCTCTTTCGTATTAATTTGATGAAAGAAAAGTGTTTTAAAGTTTCCTCCAAAAGGTTTGTGTCGTAGGTCTACCCTAATTTTTGCCTTCAATTTGGTTCTCTCTCCCTTAACCCATTACTATACACACCACTACGACAAAGACAAGAGAGGTAGGGTAGTCGACAAATAGGGCCGACAATGGAAGAGGACTCCGACGCAAGGATGGATTTAAGGAGGTGGGAGTGAGTGTGGTCGTATCCTTAAATTTTTTTGCACCCTCAAAATTTCAATAGTTCATGCTTTTTAAATTATTTATATGATAAAATTTTAAAAGTAGTTTTTAAAATCTAACTTCTTTTTTTTTTTTTAACATACACTGCCTCTAGCCTCACTCTACAATTTGGTAGACAAATTTACTAATAAGATTACACATTGAAAAATTTAGCATAAAATATCCAGAGTATACCAGGTGTTAATTAGAGATATTAGAGGTGCGATCCACAATACATTAATGTTGTGTTTGATTAGAAAATTTGAGAAGGGATTTGAAAAGAGAAATGAAAAAGGTAGGTGAAATATGAATAAGATATACTTAAATTTCATCTAGTTTTACACACTTTTTCTCTTTTTTTTTTTTTCAAATGCCTTCCCAAGTCCATGAATCAAGACAATCTTAAAATTTTTCACTATTCAAAGAAATTCAAAATTTTGTCGATGCTCATACGAGGTCTTATAACTCAAATCCGAGGTCTTATCGATCTAGACAAAATTTGTACCAGTTACTTGTGAGTTTGTAATTGAGTTTCATACTTTTCTTCCTAGTAACTCGAGGGTCCTAGAATTTGGGTGAATTTATATCCAAAATTTGGATATGTGATGGAGATTGAATAAGTGAATTATAGGATTCATATGTAGAATGAATCTTAATCATATATTAATATTTTCTGAATAATTTCCTAAATAAAATTTCTAAATTTGTATTTTTACTTTTTTTTTTAATTAGTTTGTGTTAGGGAGAGCATCCTCATCAAGCTCTTCAGAATCATTTTTTAACTAATAAACTTAAAAAAATATAACTAGTTACAATAAGTAAGGCACTGTTTATCGCTACTTGTTTGTTACTGGATGTCCGACCAGTCAACCGGCCGGTCAACGGCATTTTTTTTTTTTTTTGGACATTTTTTCCAATTTTACCTTTTACAAAGGAAAATAAGAATTGTTTAGCTGGCAGTTCATCAATTTAATTAAAAGAAGAATAACAAATATTTTAATAAGATTGAGTTAGAATAAAGAGTTTGATGCAGTAGGATGATTAACTAAAATAGAAAAATAACTTTTTTAATTATAATTTAACTAAAAATTTAAAGAGATTAGTGTAAACGCTCTTAGGTTATGTCCCCGTTTTTGTAATTTTTCCAAGTAGTCAATAGAATTTTTCTTGGGTGGGTGTTCCTGAAAAAAAAAAAAAAAAATATCACTATGTTTTTACATAATTTAGAAATAAAATGCAAAAAATCTTTATTTTTTAATGCGTTTTATTGTCAAATTTCTCTATCCCCAAGGTTACTTGATTACTTCTTGTGGCATTGTGCTTCTTTTTTTTCATAGGGTTTGGCGTTTTTAATTTTTGATGGGACACATGAAACTAAACAAATACATTATACATTTAAAATTAACTCAGCAGACACAATTGAGATAATAAAGTTCGAATTTCCTCCATTCAAATCCTTTCATTCTCTACCAAAATAGCCAATCTAACAAGAGTACAAGTTACTTGGTTTCCTTTACACTCTGTTTTAATTACAAATTTGGGTAACAATTTAAAATTTGAGCATGCTGCAAAACGAAAATCTTGTAAAGCCAATCTAGCACTATCACGTATCCGCCAACAACAAAATGGTTGTCATCCCTAGCCTTGATACTTCTGATAATTGTAAGGGAGTCATCTTCCAAATGAAAATTAATGAAAATATTCTTATTTGAATGCAAAGCATTCCAATCTCTAAACCCACAAGCCTCCCATGTCTCAGCTGCAAATACACATTTCCTAAAGCAGTGGATGTCAGTTTCATTGCAATTCCCACACGAAGGGTAATCAACCTCTCTTAGAACTTTGTAAAAGAACAACAAAGCCTTCACATGGACAACATTTGAACATTCCTTCCAAACAGTGGCGGAGGTATGAAGGGACCAGCGGGACATGTGCCCCCTCATTTTTTGCAATTTTTTTTTTTTTGTAAATAAGAAAATTAATTAATAAATAAAAATTTTATATAGAATTATCATTTAGAATGATTTTTTAATGACATTTTTCAATTTACGAAAATAATGATGATTGTTTTAATTAAAAATAAAGAAATTACAACAAACCACATTATTATGTGTTAATATATCATATACATTAGATATTGTAGCTGTAAATTATCAGTAAAGGCAAACACCCACTACCACACTTTCGGCTTTAGCATTAGTGCTTATATTGTTTAATGTAACCTTTATGCTTTCGGTGCTCCATTGTATCCCTCTTCTCTCTATAAAGAGAGCTCATTCTCTTTGTAAAGAAACACACAACATTACAGATTAATACAGCTATTCAATTGCTCTCTCTCTCTCTCTCTCAAACTATTGCTTCATATACAGTTGCTCTCTCTCTCTCACTCTCTCAAACTATTGTTTCATGGTATCAGAGCCCAGTGTTACATTTCTGGCAATTTTCGATTTTGGTGTTTAGTCCCGTACATAGTGGCACTACATCAAACCGCTCGGAATTTCCTCACGATTCCAACGGCACCAAGCCCAGCCTCAGAAAACCTTTCACAAAAAAATGAAGTTATAACGGCGTTTTTAATACTAACGGTTATTTTTTTAAAATAAAAATGATCTATCACGGCGTTTTTAAAACGTCGCTAAATGTGGAGTGACGTCATTGTATCATTATGAAGCACATTTAGCGCCGCCTATACTGATATAGCGACGCTTTTAAAGCGTCATAAAGTTACAGCGACGGCCGCATCTTCGGCGTTTGGTACTAAACGTCACAAAAACAATTAGTGGCGTTTTTGATAGCTATAGCGGCGTTTTTTAAACGCCACTAAAAGCTTAATTTCCAGCAGTGTCTATGTATAGATTATATATAAAAATAATAATAAATTGATTTGGATACGAATGGTTTTAATCATAGAAGTAAGCTTACGAAGAGCTCAGTCTAATAGACTAAATAGTGTTGTTAGAGCTTATCGGGCTATCATAATAGTTCATTTTGTAGGATATGGTGTAGATTATTTGTGTAAAAAAAAGTAAATAATTTTATAATCGTAACTAATAGATTCATTATATTATTTGTTAAAAGAATAGACATGTATGAATATACACTATAGATATTCTGAATTTAGTTTTTATCTCTATTTTTCTGTTTTTTAAATACAAATAATTAGATATGTTGTGATTTCTTTTGTTATTTTCCTTCTTTTAGTTAATGAAAACTTTTTTTTTTTTGGATTGGTAGTTAATGTAAACTTTGGAGTTAATCAATAAAATATTATGGACGTGATAAGCAAGATGGAAGTTATTTAAACCTCTGCAATACCAACATTAAAGAGTACTCACTCTGACTCTCACTCCATTGTTTTACAGTGCACACCATAACACAAAGACACACACAAAAGAAGAGAAGAGACAGACTGATCTACAAGTATGCAAAGCAATGGCAAGTGACAATAAGCCTCATGCAGTTTGCATACCATACCCAGCTCAAAGCCACATAAAAAGAATGCTAAAACTAGTCAAGCTTCTCCACCACAGGGGCTTTTACATCACCTTTGTCAACACAGAGTTCAACCAAAACCGCCTTACCAAAGCCAGAGGACCTGACTCTCTTAATGGCTTCCCCAATTTCCAATTCAAAACAATACCAGATAGCCTCCCACCATCCGATCCTAACACCACCCAAGACACAATTGCCCTATGTGGATCAGTCAGAAGGAACTTCTTGACACCTTTTCGCAACCTCCTCGCCCAACTCAACGAGGACAACAACAATGCAACCACACCAATTGTCACTTGCATTGTATCTGATGGTGTAATGCCATTCACCATTACAGCAGCTGATGAGCTCCGAATCCCCGTTGCTGTGTTCTAGACATTTTCTGCTTGTGCCTTCATGGGCTTTTATCAGTTTCGTGCTCTGTTGGACAAAGGCCTTGCACCACTCAAAGGTATGTATATGTATATAATTTAATTATATGAAAAAGATTAGTAATACAGAAATCGATTATAAAATCAAACATAAATTTCTAACATGATGTGGATGCAACGACTTCTTGAATTTTAGAGAAAATATAATAAGCTCCATAGTTTTGGCTAATTACACCAACCTCCTTTATAATAAAGCTAAAGGAACGGAAACTAATGCAACTAGTGTGAAGACGCAAAAATAAATAAGATAAAATATACATTTTAGTATAAAATATATGAAAATATCATTTTTTCCATTTATATGACTAATAAATAACTGATTAAACGGGCTAAAGTTGAAGATCTCAACTTTACGGTGAAGTTGACTCATTATCAAACTAATTTGGGCTTCGGTGATTTAAATCATTTATCTTGTACAACTAATTAAGAAAATTATCCATGCAAAAAAGTAAAATGATCCAATAATGATTGTCATGCTATTAGATCATTTTTATCTATACGGACAACATGTTTTTAAGAATAAACCATCTATCTATTATATAATATATATATATATATATATTGTGCGGGGAGCAAATATTCGTCGTCGTCCGTACACCTTGCTACCAAGCTTGCCTCGCTTCGATTATGTCTCTTCGACTGCAAACAAAACAACGGTGAGCTACCCGGTAGGTGGTTTGCCGAAAAACCCATGTTAGTTTACTTGAGGAAGAAGAAGGAATGTAGAAAGAGAATAGCTAAAGTTTGCTTACCCCTCAGAGTCTGTTCGCTTCTCCTTTTCTAGGCTGGCCATGCAGCCCTAGATTGAGTGCGCACTACCCCTGTTGTCCTTTGATGGGCGCGTGATTGTACTACCCTCTCCATTCCTCACACGTGTACATGTCAATATTACCAAACAGTATTGGCCAGACTGCTAAACGATATTGGCGCATGCCAAGAGTGAATTCCTCACCTTTTGTGATTAGTCCACGTGGTATATCTAACCATGCTATTACTTGGGTTGCACCAAAGGTATTGACTTTGGAGATACTAACGTCGAGCTAAGGCATACCGGCTCTCAGGTTAGCACTGCACTTAGTCAATGCCTTCAACCCGGTCGACAATGAGTGTGACTATTATCAACTCGGCCGTATACCGCGGTCTGTTTGCTTTCCTTGTTCGACCTAACCACCGCTAGCTCGGTCGATCTGGGAACCTGCCATGACGCATATAGTCGCACCACTGCAAATAGCTCAATCAAACACTATGCTTCATGATGGTTCGGTTAGACTCAGCCCAACACCACGTTCCGTGCTGGCTTGGTTTAGCTCGGCCCAACACTATACTCTGTGTTGGTTCAGTTCGGCCCAATACAACTGCCGTGTTGGTTTTCCTTGGCCTTCATTTGGCACAAATCTCCCTCTCAATTTCCCTTTAATCCCATCCGAGTTAAGCGTGATTAAGATTACCATTTATGGCCGAGCTGTTGATTTTGGCCGGTCTGGGAGACTTGTGTCCATCGTCCTGTCACGCATCAGTCAACTATACTGACACCACATCATTTCTATGCCACGTGGCTTCCCCCAAGTGGCTCCGTGTGGCCCCACAACTATTTCCATTATCTCTGAAATTTGAAAAGTTTGCGCCTTTTCGTCTTAGCCCATATATAGGCGATACACATGCCCCTTTCAATTCACTGTTCATCTTCTCTCCAAGCAAAACCCTAATTTTCCCAGAGCTCATACTGTCGTCTCTGTTCCGTGTGTTCTAGGCCATTTTTCTTGTACCAATCAATTCGTTAACCTCTGCTGAAGCCCTTTTCCCGATTGGGTCAAAGCTCTAACCCATTCCCAGTATTTTTTTTTTGAATATTTTTGTTCTACCTTTTATGCACTCTTCGTGTTCTTCATTTGTTTTTACTTTTGGTCTATTTAATCCCTGTAAATACGCCTCCTTTAGAGACGAAAACGGTAGGCATTTTCTTCATATCTCTCTTAACTTGGATCTACACATTTCGAAGACAAATTTAGATATTTCACCATCGGAAGGCCGCTGATGAAACCCTAGCCTCTGTAAGAAGGATGTGGTCTCTAGATCTCTTTGAACTCTAATATGCACATTTTGAAGACAGATCTAGATATTTCAATTAGAGCTCTCTTTTCTCTTTTCTTCTTGAGGTTATGGTGATTGTGAGGATAATGGAGCTATTTTTAATCTGTTCAAAAATATGTTTTGTGTTTTTTTTATTTAAAGTTTGGTTTGGCTAGGTATTGCAACAGATAAAAACATATAAAATTTGTTCTTCTGTTGATCAGATGATGATGTAATCGACGAAATCGATGAAATCAAAGATTTGGGGCCTTTTATATGAGACTAATAAAAAAGGGCATCGCTTGGGTAGGTTTTGGCACCAAAAGTGGCTTTCTTTGTTATTTCATGAAACAAAGATGGACGGGAGGCTTACATTGTGACACGAAATAACCTCCAGGATTTTAATTGTCAAAATTAAAAACTTGAGGTTTAAATTGCAAAACTTGCAAAACCTTAGGGTTTTTTTTTTTTTTTTTTTGTAATTTGCCCTATTATTTTTGAAAATAAAATTATCTTTATAAGTTTTCGGGTTTTGTTTCTATATAATTTTTTTTATTTGTATATCATTGTTTCAACCTTATTAATATCATAATAGAGTTTATCTCCGAGAATTTAAGGATTGTTGGATCCAACTGCCAATCTTAACATGTATATCCATAAACCTTTATATATATAGGGTGATTATTCAGTACTCCCGGAGTATGGACACGTAGTGTTCCATAAGGTTTTGATTGGTGGAGAGACACAAGGACCCATGATTTATGTTGGAAATGCGGGGACAACATGTGGCTAACTAATTGGTGATTGGTTTGGAGTGTGCACACATGGTGCTCCAGAAGTATTGAATAATTTCCCATATATATATATATATATGATACGATATGGAGTGGATTGTCTTCCGTCCGCAAGTGAACTCCATAGTGTTGTTGGAGCTTGTGGGTGCTTTTCTTATGTGTCTTGCTCCATCAATCTAAACTTGGATGTTCTCCCACGTACACACGTGTATGACATATAGTTTTATTAATGCAAATAATTAGATCTGTTGTGATTTCTTTTGTTTTTTAATTAATCAAACTTTGGAATTCAAGCAAGATGAGGTTATTTACAATACCAATATTAAAGGGTACTCTCTCTCTCTGTGTGTCTGTGTCCATTGTTTTGCAGTGCACACCACAAACACAAAGACACACACACAAAAGAGAAGAGAAGAGCCTTAGAAGGAGAAGTGTGCAAAGCAATGGCAATGGCAGTAGCTGAGAATAAGCCTCATGCAGTTTGTATACCCTACCCAGCTCAAAGCCACATAAAAGGAATAATGAAACTAGCAAAGCTCCTCCACCACAGGGGCTTTTTCATTACCTTTGTCAACACAGAGTTCAACCAAAACCGCCTAACCAAAGCCAGAGGACCTGACTCTCTGAATGGCTTCCCTAACTTCCAATTCAAAACAATCCCAGATAGCCTCCCACCTGTTGAATTGGCTACAGATTCTGGAGGTCACCCCATGTGAAAGGGGTGATCCTCATGTCAACAATGGAAGGCCACCAACCTCATGTCAACAATGGAAGGCCACCAACCATGTCAAAAGTCAAAGAATGAGGGCTCTCCCACCTACTCCTTTGTGTATAAATAGAGACGGGAGGGAGAGGATATAGATATCAGATGTGGAGCTGAGAGGTGTGAGTTGAGAGCAAAGAGAGAGAGAATTACAGAGAGTGTTGTAATTCACCATTTTGTTCAATATAGTGAATCCGCTGCCCGTGGACGTAGGCGACTTGCCGAACCACGTTAAAACTTGTGTGTTATTGCTTGTTTGAGTTCCCTGGTGTGCCCCCGATCCTCAACACCACCATCCGACCCCAACGCCACCCACGACGTAGCTGCTCTCTGTGGATCCGTCAGAAGAAACTTCTTGACACCATTTCGCAACCTCCTTGCCAAACTCAATGACGACGATAATGCCACACCAGCTGTTACTTGTATTGTCTCTGATGGTGTAATGCCATTCACCATTAAAGTAGCTGATGAACTCCGAATCCCCGTTGCTATGTTCTGGACTTTTGCTGCTTGTGGCTTCATGGGTTTTTATCAGTATCGTGCTCTATTGGACAAAGGTCTTACACCACTCAAAGGTACGTATATCCCTCCCTTTGCTTTGAAAGATAGAATGAAGATGATTGATAGAGAAGATTGATAGTAAGGGAATTAAGTAAAATTGTGTTTGTTTTAATGATAGTTGTTAGTGTAGAAATTGTTAAATTATTTTTATATAAAATAATAAAAAATACAAAAATATTAAATATTAATATTTTTAAAAAAAATGCCCAACATCTAAAAAAAATTTAAAAAAATAAAAATAAATAAAAAATTTCTAGAAAAAAATAAAATAATGATTTTTACTTAACAAAAAATATAAAAAATTAAACATTAATATTCAAAAAAAAAATGCCCAACATATAAAAAATAAAAATAAAAAAAAAATTTCCAGTCCGGTAGACTATTTTTCTAATATCAAGTCTTGGAGGCCCATTCGAATCCTCTCGGGAGAGGCCTATCATAATCCGAAACTCACTATCAATCTCCTTCTCATCTCTCAAAACAAATACAATGTTAGTGGGTCCTACCTCACTACAAATTCCAATCCTCCCTCTAACTCTCCAAACAAACGGGTCCTATAATTATTTGTGTTTGTGTGTACAGCAAAGAAAACAAGACAAGAAAAACGAATAGTCCGGTAGACTATTTTTCTAATATCAAGTCTTGGAGGCCCATTCGAATCCCCTCGGGAGAGGCCTATCATAATCCGAAACTCACTATCAATCCCCTTCTCATCTCTCAAAACAAATACAATGTTAGTGGGTCCTACCTCACTACAAATTCCAATCCTCCCTCTAACTCTCCAAACAAACGAGTCCTATAATTATTTGTGTTTGTGTGTACAGCAAAGAAAACAAGACAAGAAAAACGAAAAGCAGGCGTGTTTGGTTTTTACTCTGTTTTTGCATTCTGTGTTTTTGAAAACAAACAAACCTGAAGGTACCATTTTGTAAGGTTTACTGTCTACAAAAAGCAAAAATAAAAGATTTATGGATCAAAGTGCAACAGTTTGCATATTTTGACTACCCCTGATCTTCTTATTGATTTTGAATAGAGTTGAAAACGATGGGGAAAGACATTTCTGAACTTCACCAAAAAAAAACAAAAAACCAACAAAAAAATGCAACAAAAAAAGAAAAAGAAAAAAAGATTGGGGGATCAAAATGCAACAAAACACATATTTTGGGGGTTTGCATTTGGTCTTTTTGATTTTGTTCAGACTTCCGATAAAATTTGAAAAATACCCATCATCTTTTTATTGATTTTAAAAAAGTTGATGCTAAGGACTAAAGTGTAATAGAGCACACATTTTGGGGACTAAAACAGAAAAAATAAAAAGATTAGGGATTAAAGTGCAACAATTCACATACTATGAGAATTATTAGTTTAATTAACCTTTTTGCTATTTTCTAAATAATTTTCCAAACAAGTTTTTGAAAACAAAAACACCTGTTTAAACTAATATTGTTATTGCGTATGATATGCAGATGCAAGCTATCTAACAAACGGGTACTTGGACACTGTAATAGACTGGATTCCGGGAATGAAAGATATTCGTCTAAAGGACCTTCCAACATTTTTACAAACTGCTGACCCAAATAATGAAATATTTAACTTATGCATGGAATCAGCAGAGAGTGCTTCTCAAGCTTCTGCAATTGGTTTGCATACTTTCGATGCATTGGAGCAAGATCTTTTGGATACTCTCTCATCTATGTTTCCCCATGTTTACACCATTGGTCCTTTGCAGTTACTTCTAAACCAGCAAGTATCACCAGAATTGGAGTCTCTCGGATACAATTTGTGGAAAGAAGAAGCAGAGTGTCTCCAATGGCTTGATTCTAAAGAACCTCGCTCTGTTGTTTATGTCAATTTTGGGAGTATCGTAGTCATCTCACTACAACACTTGATAGAATTTGCTTGGGGACTTGCCAATAGCAACCATCACTTCCTGTGGGTAATTAGGCCTGATCTGGTGATTGGAGACTTGGCTATTCTACCCCCGGAATTCGAGGCAGACACTAAAGAAAAAGGTTTGATAGCAGGGTGGTGCCCGCAAGAGGAAATCCTGAACCACCCATCAGTTGGGGCGTTCTTAACACACAGTGGATGGAATTCAACTATCGAGAGCTTGACAGCGGGGGTGCCAATGATGTGTTGGCCATTTTTCGGGGATCAGGTGACAAACTGTAAGTACATTTGCAATGAATGGGAGGTTGGCATGGAGATTGATAATAATGTGAAGAGAGATGAAGTAGAGAAGCTTGTCAGAGAGTTCATGGAAGGAGAGAACGGGAAGAAAATGAAGAACAAGGCTTTGGAGTGGAAGAATTTAGCAGAAAAGGCCACTGGACCAGATGGGTCATCCACTTTTAATTTGGACAAACTGGTGAACGTATTGCTATCGAGAAACTAAAGATTTTCTAGATATGATTGTTTTTGGTATTTGGGTTTGAGTTTGGAGAATAATTTTATGCAATAGGTTTCATTATGATAAATTAGTTGTGCGTGAGATGTCCAGATGTACCAAGATCAAGATTGGTCCAAGTGAAAAAAAAAATTGAAAGTATTAACTGAATAATTTGTTTAGATTGTGTGGTTTGAACGCTGATTCTTTTTTGCTTTTCATATATGCAAGGACTTGATAAATTTCTCATATGGCAATTCAAGATCATAAAAATTTCCATAATTTTATACACAATGAGATGTGTTGTAATAGTTGTAATTGAAATTGGAAAGAAATTGTTAACAAATAAATAAATTACTACTGTAAAAGATAACAAGAAATTGGGATGGAGAGAAATTTATCATTACATTTTGAGAAATGTTAGAGATCATGAAAATTTTATCATGAAAAGGATCATGAAAAATTTATGACCCTTAGATTACCTTGATTAGTGTGTGGTGCTTTATTGTAAGTGTAATCCAAAGGTCACAAATCTTTCATGACCATTTTCATGAAAAACTTTTCATGATACCTAGCATTACTGTTACATTTTTTACGTGTCCAATTTAGCATATCCATATTTGACATTGCTAATAGCTTTATGCAATGTTGTTGTCTCAGGTAATCACAGCGTCAAAATCAGAGGGACCGACCACAATCCTTCACAATTCAGACACAACAAACTTACGGAGATGGGGGTTCTGAGATTCAATCAAAAATCGATGCACGATGTCCGCGGAAGTGGTGGTTTCCGATTTTGACAACGGTGCTGTTTCTGGTACTAGTAACGGTTGTTGTTAGGCTAGAGCTAGTTGGGGGTAAAGTGAAAATAAATACAAAAATACTGCAACTATGGACGGTTTGTCCACTGCCGCAACCTCTTACCACTACCGCGACTACGACGGTAACTGATAAGGGATGGGTTGGGACTCCCCTATCCTCTCACACCAAGGATCCTCTAGAGTGAAATTTTCCTAAAGTTTCCTAGAGTGTTACATTGTGTGGTTGAGATTTACTGGCAAGTCACATCAATTTTTCTGATGTGACTTGCCAGTAAATCTCAACCACACAATGTAACACTCTAGGAAACTTTAGGAAAAAATCACTCTAGAGGATCCTTGCTCATCCTCTCACCCCACCTCGAGCCCTGCTCTCACTTTGACCTAACCTGACCGGGCCGATATTTAAGAAACTATGCCCACTCCATTGTGAGTTAGGGATGGATAAATATATTAATATTATATTATATACGTAATATATTAATATCATAAGGTGACACATGGCGAGGGTGACCCGTGAAAGTGGAGGTGTTTGATAATTTTATCAAATATATCTATCATCGCATAATGGGGTGGTAGTTTCCTAATATATATGAATTAATTTAAAGATATTATTCTATCAATATTTCCAACAAAAGGTTTCCTTACATTTTTGGAGATTGTTGTTGACCATTATCTCCATTTGAACCACCATATAACTACAATATTAGGATTTGGCCTGGTAGTTCCGGCACGTGTCAATCACCTCTCACACTTGGAGTCCAATTACATATGATCCAATGGTCAGAAAAATATGACAACAATTGAACCTCTTATAAATTAGCAAATTTAACACATGCAGCAGATTATTTAGCATATTTTTGAGATATTTGGGCTTCAAAACTTGGTCATAGGACACATGGCAATCATCTAAAGCAAAAGGTTTCCACTATCAATATCATCCAATAGCTAGAATTTGGAGGCTTTAACATCTCCTAAAATGAAAGCTTCTCTTTGACCAAGCAAGAACATGTGACAATCATTCAAAACCCTCATCCACTATCCAAGGGTTGAGATTTGAAACTCTATCCATGAGGAACAAACTAACAAATTGCTAAGAAGAAGGCGGTTGGGATATATGTCACTCCACGAGGCTATCCAACACCCCATGTTTAGGATTTTATGGAGATTACTACAAAACTGTTGATGATTTCTAGGAGGTTGTTCATGATTTTCAAGAGGTTCCAACATCTATAAATACAAGAAATGAAGATGGAGTAAACCCCAATCAATCTAATATTTAACACAACTTGGTACATATCCCAGTGCTATTTATCTTTAGTTAGCCCTAGTTCAACTTAGGAGTAAACTTGAAAAGCATATTTTCTATAGATTTAGCCTTAGATTCCAAGTTTTTCATGACATCCATGTCAGATTAATTATTTTTGGCTTTCATAGGCATTAATTGTTTTGAGATTTAAATTGTGTTTACATCCATTTTGTAATTCAATTTCATGTTTTCAAACTTGTTTTCATACTTTTATTTGTTCAATCCAATGAATTAAAAAAGCATATTTTCTGGTGCTTATTTCCCTTTATTTACCTCTGTTTTTGGCATTAAAAACTCCATAGAGATTTAAGTCCTCTTAATTGGGGCAAAACAAGAACCATGAAGTCTTTTATCCATTTGAACCTCACACAACTCCTTGTTTTCAGAAGTCAAATTTTTTCAAAAGTATTTTCACAACTTAGGCATTGTTGCCTTGGTATGCCCGCAAATCATCCAATACCTCATGATTTTAGCCAAAACTTATGTTTTAGTCAAAGGATATAATTTTTATATTTTTTTTCACAAACAGTTAATGAATTTAAAACTTCTAATCTAAATTTTTTATAATTTTAAATTAATAAAATATGAAAATACATGTGTCATAAAATCATTGATCATTTCACTTTAATTATAATTATTGGCATTTTAATTATTATGTATATTTTAAATTCAGTAATTATCACTTTTTTTTAGATGGTGTAATTATCACCATTCAAATTCCTAAATATATGATTCTTTTATAATATTGACATGGAAAATAAATCAAAAATTTAAATGATAATAACAATTGAACACTACTTCATAATTTTAAATTAATAACAATGAAATACTACTATTTTTTTACGATAAGATAATAGTAAAAGATGGATCCATGCAATACATATTCATCATGACCTATCAACTTTAATTTTCAAATTTTATTAAGCAAAGTTTTATTTGTTTGGTTCAAAGTTTACATTTTACTTCTTTTTTTAAATAATTCTATAAATTTTTTTAAAGCTAAAAAATATAATTAACATAAAACTATGGACACATCTAGTCATATATCTAATTTGAAAATTTGAAAATCTTTTAAATAGAAAATGAAAAATAAAATCTTATTCATTATTAAACCCTGCCTCATTTGAAATTTGAAATTTTTGAATTTAAAAAAAATAAAATATGAAATTTAGTACTCCCTCCGTCCCATAATATTAGTCCCTTATTCCATTTTTCATTGTCCCAAAATATTAGTCCCTCTTCAAAAATTAAGTACAAAAATAATATAAATTTCCCATTTTGCCCTTCTTTTAAATTCATAAATAATATAAAAAGTACAATTATGACATTGATATTCTCAAAAAAGTGTACTATCAAAGGGTAATTTTGGAAAACCAACTTTTTAAAAGTACAATAATTGTACTACCAAAAAAAGTTGGATTCCCCAAAAGGGACCATTATTTTGGGACGGAGGGAGTAATTTAATGACAACATCTCAAGATACCTAGCACAACATTAATACCAAGCCTTTGGATAGTGATATTAACTGTAAGTGGTATTCTTGTTGTAATGATCAAACATTGACAATAAGTTATGTCAAATAACAAATCTATCTTTTAATGGATTTATTATTCACATTAGGTTTTCTTGACAATTGGCACATGTTTATCACAACAAAATGTGTGTGTAATTCTGCCAAGTCTTAATCATGTCTTTGGACCGATAAATACCCGCATGAGATACACAGACATGAACTTCAAAACATTCCATATAAAACAAACTAGACAAGAGAGATCGCCTGTTGTGCCCTATTCCATGAATTTAGGATGACAACAATATACATATATGTACAAATTGTAAACATAAATTTCAGAACATAAACCTTACACTTTGGATCATTTACCATGTGTATTATCAAGAAATCAAGACAAAATGACATACCTGAATCCATTGATGAACGGTTAAACGGAAGCGTGATTATCAATGAACTCTTTGTTATTGATTATGTTATTGCCTTCTAATCCTTTCCCCTTTGGTGCCTTATGTTTCTCGCCTATTAACTAAATCGAATCACTTAAATCATAGGCTTCTTATAAATGATAACACCACATTTAATTATGTGGTCCCATTGAGACATTATCTAACAAACGATTGATAATAGTGTGTGAGATATAAAGAAAGTAGAAATTAAAGAAGAACCAGACTCAAAATGGAGAGGAAAAAAGAGTCTTTTAAAACAGTAATTTGTTTCATTTCCATATTTTTATTATTATAATCAAAATAAATCCATTCTTGAATCTTATGTCATATATGTTCATTAAAATGAATTCTTCACCAATTAATTTTAAAATGATAATGATAAATAAATAAAGTTATATGGGCAACAGAGGTGGCAATCCAAAGGATTGATGTGTTTCCAAACTAGTCTGGGAATTCAGACTTATTATCCCAGATTTGAGACAAGAATGAAATGTGTGATAACCCTATTCTGTGTTACGTTAATTAATCTTAATTATAATTGTGATTATGTGCTTAATATGATTTTGGTGGTTATGCTTTCATCATGAATATAATAAACTCTTTTGCTGTCTGAAGGTAATTGGTGTTGGAATCAACACAGAATGGGGATTGTTGATGGCAAGTATCTCGGAAGTATTTGAGCATTTAGTTTTTTATGTGATTTATTTAAATTAATTCACCATCAAAAAAATATATAAATGTGTATGTATCATATTTATAATCACCTAATTTCAAATTCAACCCAGTGGGATTCATTGTATGTCTTTACTCATTTCAGCTGTGCTCTAGCAACAATGAATTGTACTCTCCTTCACAAGCTCTGGTCAGGACCCATATGGTGTGGAAGGAGGACAAGAAGAGAATCAGGAGAGTGAGGTGCACCTGCTATTTCCCTTCCCACTGCAGGCATGTTGGTTCTTTCTGCTTCCTTCTTTGTCCCCACATGGGTATGTTTTTGTTCTTTCTCATACTGCTCTGATTAGAACAGAGTAAAAGACATGAAATTGCTGCAGCATGAATTAATACAGCATCTCACTTTCTCATTATATGTAAGAGA